GGGAACCGAGTGCCATAACCACCTGGCCATGCCGGGCCGAAATTTAGCAGTGTAAGGCTAGAGGGAAGGCAGCTAGTCATCACCACCTACCGACAACTCTTGGGCTACTCTTTTACCAACAAATAGTGGGATTGACCATAACATTATAACGCCCCCACGGCTGAAAGGGCGAGGATGTTTGGTGTGACGGGGAGCTAAGAGAGGACCAGGAAAAAAAACTCATCAACGACATTCCAGAAATAGCTATATATGATAATCACACTTAGCTTAAATTAACAATACACATAAACGTAGATCACTCATTTATGTTTTGCAATGACCATAGTTCTTTTTCAGTCTACCTGTAAGTTCAATGGGGTAGAGTGCAAAGATTTATTTTAAATAATTATATTAAGCATTAAATTATTCGTGTCAGAAAACAAAATCTTTGTAATGAATCTAAGTTTCAAATGGACAACAACTGCCTGTTGTAAAAACCTACAAATTCACAAATTCATTATGAATACTCTGCCTAAACAACCTATCAAAAATCTTTGTACTATTAGTGGGGCTTGTGTTTTTCTGTTGAGAAAAACTATTATTTTTTATTATTAATGATCATAAAGGGGGTTGTCTGGTTATTTCCAGGCTGTATATATCATACATTCTGCCTAACTTAGGAAAGGAGAGGCAAATTTTCCATATTGCGCAGAGCCCCCAAAATTCTTTAATCCTGCACTTAACACTTTAGCTAAGTATACATAGGGTTCCATTTAAGTTAAAAATTCCAAGTAAACTAAGAAAAAACTGTACATTTATGTTATTTTCATTCTGATGTGGCCCTGTTTGTTTATCTTGATATATTCGCGCAAAAATGTTAAAGTTAAAAAGAAACATCTGTGCTAGCCGTCTCGAAGTTGGAACTGAGAGCCTTAGAAGGAAAGCAGCTAGCCAACAGCATCCATCGTTACTTTTGTATGAACGAATAGTGATATTTGACCATCATTCTTATAGCGCACCCACAGCCCGAGTAGTAGTACTTCACGTAAATAATGGGTTCAAAGGTCAGGTCAGATATCCATTATTTCAGCCATAATCTCCCCTTATTTTGAAATGGGGCCAGAAGAAAAACAATCGCTTGGCAGCACCGACCTCCTTAAGTAGCTACATTTAATAGAATAGCGATACTGACTGTCATTCTTATAAGGCACCCACAGCTGAAAATGGGGAGCGTAATTGTTAGCATAGCGTCTCAAACCTGAGACTCTCGGGTCCTCAATCCGATAGGTTAACCACAAGACCACGACAGGGCCAATCCAAAAGGCAAGCACCATCGTCGAGATCACATTCGTTTTGGTTTTTAACATGGTTAATTTTATAAACAACAAATGCTCTTCAAAAATTGCATTCAGTATCAGCTAAAGTTATTTGTAATGCTTTGTGAAGATTGTTTGTTTTGGTTTTGAATTTCGCGCAAAGCGACACGAGGGCTATCTGCGCTAGCCGTCCCTAATTTAGCAGTGTAAGACCACCC